CCGGGCCTTGTGAGGCCACGCTCCCCGCAAACCTTCCCGGAAGCCCAGCGGCGGCTGGCTGGGAAGGGCGAGTCCACCTTAGCGTTCCTAGGCACCGCCCCACCTCCGGAAGGGTGGGAAGGAAACCAGAGCTGACGAGGTCCTCATTGTCCCTGTTCCGGAGCTCTGGATTGAAGAACAATAATCATCGATCTGAGAACAGAAACCCAGAGCCAGGCAGGGGAATCAGTGCGGGGCTAGCGGCCCTCGGGGACCAGGTTTGTCCTGGGGTCCCCCAGACTGTCAGGACTGTCTGGGCCCCTACTCAATGCCAGACGTGATTTCCGTGGCCCTCTCAAGGCCTGCCCTGCTGTGTTTCAGAATCCCAAAGAAGGTTTGCCACTGCCCTCCCAACCCCTAATGGGAATTACTCTCATTCCTCCCCTGAGAGGCCTCCTGGTCGCGTCAATTATTAAACAGCACCAGGTCATTTACATATTGAGTGTCAACTCTAAGAGGCCCTTGCCCTTGAGCAAGTACACGTTTTCCTGAAGAGGAAATAATGCCTGCGTGACAAACATTAAGGACAAAGATGCCATTAATGTTGGGATGGGTAGAAATTGGTAAGGAGGAGAACTTCCCTGGTGAAACAACGTCTCAGTGCTGGAAAATTAAGAACAAACGAGATGTATTTGAAGACTTGTGAGAAACCCTGTAGAACTATAAGAAAAAGAAAGAAACATGACCAGTAATAAAAGCAAACCCAAGGAGTGGACATTTTCCTTTTCGTTGGCAAAGAATCAAGATAGCAACAACCAATATGAGTAAAGGTATGGAGGACCAGCACCATCGGACATTTAATTTTTAACGTAACTTTTACAGATGTTAAAAGTTTTAAATGGATATGACTTTTATTCCAACTGTTCCATTTATTTATCCCAAAGAAATCATCAAAGATGTGAACAAAGAACTTTGCAAAAATAGAAATCTAAGTGTCTGGGAGAAGTATAAGGAATTTTTGATAGGTGGCTTTATGGGATGAAATTCTATGCAAGCAAGACGTGACAAGAAATACCAATGTGAGAAATGATATATTTGTAATTGGAAAAAAGGTCTCAAAGTCACTATTGCTGGCATTCCTTTTATTAGAATAAAAGTATATTGATAAATATAAAATAGATTAATTGGAAATACACCAAAGTTAACTAATGGTTGATAGGATTATGGCTACTTCATTTTCTTCGTGCTTTTTGTTTTCCACATTGACTCGTGTGTTACTCTTGGACTCAGTTAAAGAAAAAATTCTAAAAATCCAACCTGTATCAACTGCTATTTTGTTTATAGAATGTTGAGGATACCGCATGTGTCCCATAGGGTTAAGATATGCAAGAATGGTGAGGAAATGGAATCTGTCCATATAAATCTCAAATACATCCACTAGAACTGACAAAACTTTAAACAATTTTATATCCAGGGTGTGCTAAAGGTGTTCTGGGCTAAACAAGCTAAGAAATTCCCTCTTCATCTGAAACCAACACAACGTTTGAAATCTTGGCAGAGCTCTGAAGAAAAATACTAATCTGGAGGTGAATGAAAGTTTAGAGTTCAGACACTGTGGTGTGGTGACATTTAATGGAAGGAGATGTCATTAAGGAGACAGTGAAAGGAAACACAGTGAGTGGGGATTACCTGAATTCTTACAGTTGTGACAGATCTCTTATAGTTGTGATATTTTGGAAATGTTTGTGGCACAGGGTTTGCACTTACTTAAGAAAATGTGGTATCTGTTGTTCTCTAAAACCATCTGTACACAATGTTACATGTCAGTTACACCTCAATAATCCTCAAAAACACTTTTCATCTATTTCTAAGCTTAGAATTGACATTTTTCTCATCAGAAAACTTGAGACATAGGGAAAGAAATATGGCTAGTGTTTGGTTTCCTAATTTCAAGGACTACATTAGATCAGTGATTGAGGTTTTACTGGAACTTTCAACCAGTGAAATTTCTACACCTAGGGTTCATCAAGCCATTCTTAATGTAATTGAAGACTTTCATATTGATTTCATGAATTTAGTTTGATTTGACCCAGTTGAAGCTCCATTTGAAAGGTTCTGAGCCTAATTACCTGTTTTTCTGGACCAGTTCCATGAGGGAGGGACAAAGTGTTCTGTATCTCCACTGCTGAGACAGTTCTAGGCCTGTGCATAATAAATACCTATTAAAAACTGAATGAAATTTATGGGTTTTGCTGTCAAGTGCATTTAACATGTCTTAAGCCATTGCTACCCCATGGATTTACCAAATGCTGGGAAAGTTCTGAGAGATTTTGGTTTTAATAATTTTAGACACTAGAAATACAGTGAGATTTGTGTCTAAAAGGAATAAACAACAACTGTCTGCACAGAAAACTTTATTAAATGAGGCACTGCAAGCTGACCTATGTAGTAGAACTCCTGTCTAGCCCTTAGCCTTGATATTATTTTAGTGACTGAGTTCAAAGGGAGAGTGCTGGCAGTGAACTTCCCAAGGTCCGACAGGAACTGAACTCAAGAGTCAAGGCTTTGAGTGAAGTAAGGGAGTAAAAACAATGGTTCCTGTTGAGGAAGATCCTCCAGAAGAGGTGACCACCAGATGACCAGAGAGCTGGGCCGCAGCTGTAGGAGGATCCTCACCCCCTCCTGTCCTTGGAATGTCAGTTCCACCTGCCTTCTCAGCTCCCAGAGCCTGCATCAAGAACAGCTTTGAGATGGTGACATGGTGTTGAGACCATCTGGACAATAATACAGGACTGAGTCCAGTTAAGGCTTCTATAAAACTGTTAAGATGTGGCAAGCAAGTATGGAGATCCACTCTGCTTGCAGCCACCAAAGACACAAGCCTTCTATTAAGATCCCCTGCTTATAAAACCTGCCACCTGCCAACCTGGAGTGGCCTGCCTCATCTTCCCCACTCACTGCCCTTCCCTTTTGTCAGATAGTTTCAGATTACACCTGAGGAACTCCTGAGGAGCTTGTGAACCAGTAGTTCCTCCACTCCCCCGAAAGATTTTGTCACACTGCCAAAGAGAAGAAGAGAGGAAAGAGAATATGCATGTTTGTTGCCTGGGTTCTAACCTGTGTATTAGATCTCCTTTAAGGCTTTATGAATGGCATTTGGGTGACAATAGGTGTGTGGGGATGTCATTAAACAGGGGCCAACTTATTTAAAACAGTATTAGGAGGCTCTGTCTCCAAAATTAGTATATTTACATTACACTTTCAGTGGTGAACTAGCACCATGAATGGGCCTGTGAATGCTCTCAGAAAAGGCTTTCCACTCTCATGATAAATTTCACAGTAGGTATTTGTGAAAACCTGAAAGAATGCCGAAACAGAGGATAGATAAGCCATCTCTTTTATGTTGGTCCTGGGAGTTATGCCATCTCTATTTGCACCTGGTGAGAGCCTACCAGCCAGTTAACCTTCATATTTAGCCGTTACCAGCCAAGAGCATTACTGTGATATGCCACACCCTACACTGGGATTCTGAGACCAATGTAGTACAGAAAGGAGGGCATGTCTCAGAGGCACACAATCCCATTTTGTTACCTCTTAGCTTGTGAAGGTTCTAAAAAGTAAATAGATTACAAACCATATTCCATAAGCAGATTTGCAAAGAAAATCTTTTATCTTTTCTCATTAAAATGGTAGAGACAGAAAATTTAAATGTCACAGACCTAGACTAACTCACACTTCACACTCAAGTGTACAAAGGGGTAAACAGAACAAAGCTAGAATTGTTAGCATGGTAATAGCTCTGGAGACCATTGGTCCAGACCCTGATTTTCAGATGAAAAATATAAGGCCAGAGGTTAGCAGAAATGCTCTGTAATACAAGTTAAGTAAGGCAATACGATATTTTATTCCTAGTAAAAATATAACTAATCCCCAAAGATAAGTAATAGAGTACGAAAAAAAATCTCATGGATTTCTTGCAATTATAAAACCACAGGGCACAAGATATTTCTCACTGACGTACTCCACTCTGACGGTAAAAATAGGAATTCATGATTTTTTCTTGTGATGGGTAATTTTAATTCTAAGGAAGGACAATTCCTAAGCATTAATTTATACCCTCCTCTAAAATTTGCTTCTTTAGGAGCACAAGAAATAATAGAGATTTGCTAAAGTACCGACTAAGCAAAACCATTGAGATTCTATTTATGTATTTGTGGACTCTTTACCTTTCTTCTTTTGGTGACCTGGATGTTGTCCTTTGCCCTTTTGGTGGGGGGAGGGTTGGTCTTTGAATTTTTAATTCTCTAAATAAGCTGGTTTCCCTTTGTGATATAAGTTGCAGTTCTTTCTCCCATTTTGTCTATTGACATTGCTATGTTGTTTGTGTTTTCTATCTTGCATGATTTTAAATTGAAAATCAAGTTGATATCCAGTTCACTCTTTATGTTTATCAAGGTCAATGTGTGAAAATACACTTTAAAAGCAACTATTAAAATCCAGAGTTACAAAGAAGGTAGTAGTAGTTACATACACATTTGTTGTTAAGTATCCAGAAAGTTACTGATATTTTCTAGAGAAGATTGTGCCAAATAAAATTTTGATCTATAAAGATGTAAATCCACTGAAGACTCCAGACTACTTATTTAGAATGTGTCAATACATGTTTATTAATTTGCTAAACTCTTAAAACTCATCTTCTCTTAGTTTTTAGTGTATTCTGAATCCATATGAAAGTAATCTAGTTATTTTTATTATAAAATCATTGTTATTTAAATTTTAGTATTGTTTTAATACAGAACATAATACAAAATGCTTTTGAAATAGAGCTTAGGAAGCATCCAAAGCTTAATTTTATTTCTGATATTTCTCTTGAATAGTCTTAAGCCATCTCCTCTATAATAGTTTAATGCCTTTTTAAAACAGTGTGAATCCCTCTCCTCAGACACCAAATGCAATGGTGTTTTATACCCAGCAGTAATAGTAGTATAACTTCATTCGGGTTCCCACACCTGATTCCAATGTGTGAAAGTATGTGGGAGGGGGGTCTTCCCACACGTACTTACACCAAGCAATTCTCGAACACCAGCAGGGTGTTGAAGAACTCAACTCAATTCTGATGCCCTCTGTCCAGAGACAGCACTGGATTCCCAGATAAAGGGCCACATCCTACAAGACTGCCCTCCACCCCCTACTCCAAATGCTGGCCGCAAGCCCCAGGCAGTACCTGTGCTTCTGACAAACTGGCTACAAACTGGAGGTTCTACGACCTTCCACTTAGGTTCAATTAATTTGCCAGAGGGGCTCACACAACTCAGCAAAACACTCAACATTTACCAGTTTGATGAAGGATATGGTAAAGGATACAAGTTAACAGCCAGATGAAGAGAGACACAGGGCAAGGCCTCACATAAAGGAGCTTCTATCCTCCTGGAGCTTGGGGCCTGGCTTGGTGGAGCAGGGAGGCGTTCTGGTTCCCCAGGCATACATGCGCTCTCTGGCCACGAAGCAGGATCCAACCAAGCTCAGCAGAGACAGAGAGAAGTTCTTCTCAGGGGTTGTTGTGAGGCCTTCCTTTCCATAGTCATGATTGACTTAATTATTGGCAATTGGCTGATTCAGTTTGTAGCTCCTGCCCTTGGGTAGGGTTCAAAAGTCTCTACATGACAAAAACACCCATTTCAACTTTAAGATTCTGCAGTGTTTACAGGAACTGGAGATGATGACCAAATATACCTGGGAAATATATATTTGGTCATACGAATGACCAAATATGCATTATTTATAAGTCATTATAGCGCAAACAAGAATTATATTTTTCTACCTAGAGAAAGTGAAAACTGATATTAGCGTATATTTTAATCCATTCTTTCTAAAAGGAGAGGGTTTTGCTTTATAGAAAAAAAACAGTCTATTGGAAAAGGAAATTTGTGTATATAAAGAAACATATGAAGAAAACTTCAAAATGAATAAATTTATTAATAGTGGTATCACTGGGTAACATAATTATATTTGACTTGTTTTCCATATCTTCATCCTGCAGTTTCCCATTTCTCCTTAATGAGCCCACCATATTACACACATTTAAAAATTAGAAAGATGACAAACTTGTAAACAGAAATCCTAAGTCACACCATCTATTTATAATTCTAAGTGCAGTCCTTCCCCTGCCTAACACACTGTGTGCTCTCAGCACAAGAAAAGCGGTGAAAGGGTGGCAGTAAACCTAAATAAGGGGCTGGAGCTTCACTACAACATAGGAGAGTGTCAGCATCTTCATACGCACAAGTTTGCGTCTCTGTGAAGTCACTTCCAAGACTGAATGAGTCTCAGATCTTATTCTGTTGAAATGAACTGGCTGATTTCCAGTCAACCATCTGAATTTGAGGTGTTCTCCAGCTTTACAGTACTTTGTCAAGGAAGACACTGGAGTAACAGGATATTTCTATTTAGATGACAGCATAGAAGATACTGAAAACCCAGAATTTATATGCTGATAATGTCTATGCTAGCATTACACATCTGTTACAAGTTCAGAAGAAATGTTTATTGCCCACTGGGTGTGGTTGCTGTGGAGGGCAGAAGAAAGTATGGCATACACTGAGACACTGAATAGAGAAAAGAGAGACTAATGAGCAACTTGACCTTCCCTTCTTTTGTCAAAGGAAAAGTGATCTCAGAGACGAGCAGCTAAACAAAAAAAGCCTCACTCCAGAAAACATAGAGGTTCCTCATTGAACATGCAAAATATTTCCTTGAGCCTCTTTTCTGAACCATGGTTGTGCCAGGGGGAAAGAAAACAGTAGCTGGTAGTTTGGAGGGACTTTAGCTTCAGAAACCACATCCTCCCCTAAGCACAGTCAAGAAGGAAAGGAGGGCTGTGTGGTCCAAGGCGCCTGAGTGCTTCCTGGCCGTGCTGAAGTCTCCCCTCTTCCTTATGGCCAGGATCACTGTCCTTCCACCAGAGCCCCGAGGAGGCCCATCAGCTCACCTGACACCCCCAGTCATTATCGCCACCTCATCACTCATGCTTGTTCTCTTTCTACCTCAGGAGGCTCCCCAACATCCTCTGGTACCTGCACCACTTTTGAATATTCTCATGTCCTTCAACACGTTGGCTGTGTCTTTGCAGTGGACCTGGGTACCTGTGTCACCCTCTCTGCCCCTGCACCTGGCCTGGCTGCACAGGCCTTAGGCTTGGTTACAGACTCTCACTGACTCCTTGTCTACCATTTGTTGCCACAAATGATTAAACTTGCTTCTGTGGAAAGCTGTGGTCCAAATTCCAACCTTAGAGGGGAAATGTGAGACAAATTCATTAAGCACTTCCTGCCACTTTTTAAAAAGGTGGTCAATAGTCATGCACACTTTGGTGTGTGTCTAGAGGCACATGAACATTCCTAAAAAGTTGAGAATAGATGAAATGTTGATAAATTTCTTCTCAAATATTTATTGTACACTTCTCATTTGATTCAGTCTATACTGAGGTAATTGTGTGAAATTTAAAAAGGGGTCCTTACTCAAATGGGTGAGTAACTCTGACCTGGGTTAATGCAACTTAGATTAGAAGAAAGGTGGACAGGTGTTTTAGGCAGGTAACCTGTTTTAGGAATGAGATGAAATCAAGGGAGGTTTTAAGTACTCTTGCGGAATATTTTTAAATGAACCTTTGCAAAGACAGCCTTTGTGCTCACCGTCCTCTATAGTTTTGTCTGTTTATTTTGGTGGCAGCAGGCTGGCTGTGAGTCAGTTTTGCAACTTTTCCATCCTACTACCCCAATAGTAAAAGCAAATGAATGCATCACCCAACAGCCTTGAAGGCATAACTAATATTTGAAAGCAGAATATTCTGTCTTTTTTATCTTAAAGTCTCCTGTATTGTTTTCTTTTCTCTTATATACCTATTAGTGTCAATACAGACACAATGCTATTCCTCCTTTACATGATTGGAACAACATTGGAAAAAATATTGTTTTACCGTGTCATTTTCACTTATCACTTCTACATCCCCTTGGTGTACTAGGCACACATTCCCAGGCATATGTAAATGCCCATTTGAGCAGGTTCAAGGTAAATGATCATTAAAGCCTCCAAAAGCAAATTGCCAATTTTGAATCTTTCAAAAGCAGTGCACATTTCTTTTACTTCTGCAAATATTCATGAATAATCGCTATTCCAAAGAAGCAAATTGAGTTGAAACCAGATAATAAACATAAAGCTCTGCACATTTCCTTCTATTTAGAAGAAAACAGGAATATAACCTATACTTGGTGTTGTTTACAAAAATTCAAATTGCCTCTATCATTGTAAACTATAACATGACTCTTGCACCTGTTATCTTTGCCTGTGATCGCCTCCAAATTCCTCTGTCGAATTTAACATTTCTGACATGTGTGTAGATATCAATGGCAGGTTCAGATTAAAGCACACTGATATGGGAAAGTAGGACAGGAAGAAGGAAATTGACTAACAGGTGTTGTTTGTACTGCTTCCGATGGGAGGGCCTAAGTCCTTCCTAGGTCTTGTGGAACTGCTGCTTCTGACAGCGCCCTGAGGACCTTATGGTAGGAGATGTCAGGACTCCCGGGAATAGCAGAGGGACAAGGACCTGGTAAATGACTGGCTAAGATGGAGGAGGGGAAATAGTTTGGCTCTGTATGCCACGCAGGGTATGCGTCTCTGTGGCTTCTCAACCCTGCTGTTGTCGTGAGAGCAGCCGTGGACACTAGGTGAATGCGTGGGTGCAGCTGTGTTCCGGTAAAACTTTATTTCACAAAAATGGTCACTTTTTAGTGCACTGATTGCTAGTATTTAATTGTGTGTTGTGGGCGCTTTGAGTGGCAGAGAAATTTCCCTTTCATCGGGAACCTTTAGCAAACAGCCAAACGTTTACTCAGAACCCATTCTGGCCAGGCTGCCGTGAATAGGTGGGATGAAGGGGGAAGGTGTGGTAACAAGCCCACGTGGAGGAGGACAGGAAAGGGAGGCAGGCACAGGGGGCCAGGGCGGCAGAGAATTCAGGGCCAGTCGGAAAGCAGGGGACGACGTAGAGCAGGAGTCTCCTGGGGACCCGGGAGACGTCCTGCACATTTAAAAGATGTAGGATTTGGGAGGACACCCGTGTGGCACAGGCTTGGGGTCCACAAGAAAGAGAAAAGCTTACTACTTCTGGAAGGTTCACAGCATAAATGCCCAAAACTGTCAGAAAGCTTTGGAAAAACTGCCTGCGCACAGGCCTGACCGAGTCGTCCCCCCAACCACTGCACACAACATCAATCCAAGAGGAGCCAGCCACCCCCAGGGCATTTCCCCTCAGGCGGGACTTCCTGACGTCTTTGGTATCAGGGACCCAACTGGTGCACTATTATCATATTCAGATCGTGGCTCCGCTTTGAATTGTTGAAACATTTTGAATTCCATATATGTGCTAGGTACCTGTTATTTTCCTGATTTGTTTGTAGAGTTTGAGGATGAAGAAGGTTGCTTTCTTGAGGATGTAAGTGGATAATCCCTTCTTTAGATTTTTCATCTGTATCACTGCTAATTGGCAGAGGAAAAAAATAGGAAAAACACTTTAACTATATACGTTTCAGTTTTGAAAAATATTGTCAGCAGCTTTCACTTGGAAATTTAGGGCATAATTTTCCTAATTTTTGGAAACCTTCAAAGATATCTAAAAGGAAAAATACATCAAATCCCCCTTTTCAAGATTAAGTAAAAACTTCAATTAGGAAATAGTACTAAAACCATTCTATACATTTTTCAGAAGACTAATTTGGTTATAGGCAAGTGTCCTTGCCTTAGAAGTAATTCAGATTACTTCACTTTTACCACAAGGTTGTGACATTTGTGCTTCACAACATAAGTGGCCTTGCACTCAAATCTTACACAGGTTCCTTTTTCCCCTATACTGAAGATATACGTTCTATTTTCTGTACAATTAATATTCACAGTTAGGAGATATCACAGGAGTTGTACTGAAGCTATATGAGAACTGACAGTAAATGAAAGTATTTAATCACTTTTAAATGTCAATAATAGCACTCATATAATTAGCAATTACATTTTCTGACATTCATCATAGGCAAGGCACTGTTGTAAGTGAGGTAGGAGTTATTTCTATCCCTGTTTTACAGGATAAGTGTCTTGCTCAGGGTGTCGGAGCCAGTGAATGTGAACACGTTCTTACCGAGCGCAAAGCCCTTGGTTTTCCCCTGATATGCTAGTCTGCTTCACTGGGTGTTCTTAGATATTTATATTGAATTTTACATAGAAGAAAGGATAAATAATTCCAATGCCTTTATATTTCAAGTACACATTGGTATTCGGGATTTAAGAACAGAAGCACACAGAGTTAACTTACTCCACCTCTTAGCACAACTTCATTGTTCAGTGACTACCTCTCATGGAAAATAGGAGGACCTCACTTGAGACAATGGGGAAGACTGTGAGTCAGGAGCCAAAGTTTTCACAGGAGAAGGAAGGGCAAATGAGATCAATGCAAGAGGAAAAGCAGAGGGTAGTACAGCCAGGTGATACGCACTTCCAAGCAGCAGTGACTAAGCGGGTAGGTGAGTAATGGCCTGAAAGTAGTCTTGGCTGATGAGCGATACATGGGGTGTGAGATAAAATAGCCCTAGTGAATATATGCTGAATGGTTGGCCATCCAGCTGACTAATGGTGGTTATAAGGTAACAGAATATGTGTATTATTTTCTGCCCTCAGTTCCTGGCACAGATTTCTGAAACCATTTTGTAATTTTAAATCATAAGAGCAGTAGGATTATTGCTTATCTCTTATTTTAATATTTGGTTTTTGACCCCATCCTTAATACAGGGCTCCTAAAACCATTGTAAATTCTAAATACCAAGAGCACTAGCAGCAACTTTGGATATAATGAAGCAACTATGGGTGGGCTCCTGGGCATCTCCTGAATGGGGGCAGATCTCCAGAAAGACTAAGACACATCAGCTGTGTGCCCAGAAAGGGTACACAGGGCAGTACAGGGAATCTTTGCAGAGAGTGGCCTTATTAGTTTTGTCACTCAAGCATCATACCAGTGGAGACTTAGAAGTACTGTCTGACTATGGACAAGACAGTTGTTTTGCATAGAAAAGGGAATAGATCAGAGGCAGAAACAAGAGGCAAGAATAAACAGCCTCTGAATGAAGGAATCTCACAGTATTATTCCTCTGTGATCAGTGCATGACTTGTTTAAATTTCCTCAAATTATTGATGTAGTAAATCCACAGTGACATATCAAATGTGCAAACCACAGCGTTCTTTTCATGAGTGAATGTCAAGGCAGCAAAATTAAAGTACAGAAAGATCTATGCGAATGGAAAGGAAAAATTTCCCTAGATCTTCACATGGACAGAGGCCCTTACAGAAAAACTTAATTTTGTTATCAGATAGTAACACAGAATAGAGTAGAAAAGGAGAGATTGCTTACTGTTCTCTAGAAGGATACAGACTGAATATACCAGAGGAGCTCAAACAATTCCAGTAAAATAGAGGAGGAAAAAATGAATATCGAAAGAAAAAAGGAAATATTCCAGCTTTGTACTATACACTGTTCTGGATACTGAATTTCAGTATATCAGAATCAGATTCACAAATGGGCAACTAAAATTATCACCAGAATAACTAAAAAGGTTCAAGATTATGAGTCAGATAATCAGGACCCAACTGTAACTCGTAACAACCTGCTAGTGGTATGATTTTAAGCAAGTCCCTGAATTTCTCTCCTCTGCTTTGGGGCAACCATGTCATTGGGCCTACCTTCCTCACAGAGTGGCTTTGAGGACCAAGGAAGACAATAAATGGTACAGCATTTTGTAAACGAACATGTTAGTTGCTGCTATTCTTATTAATCTTGATGACTGCACGAGGGGAGGTCCAAAATCATTATATAAAAATTATTTGAGTGATAAAGAGCTCCGTGACTTTGGGAGGGGAGTGCTGTGGAGAGTGGAGGGGATTGAATAGAGTGTGGAAAGCCCCAGGGGGGGATGCACAGGGCACCTGACACTGAATCTGGGAAAACTGAGGATAGAAGCAAAATCATCCACAATGGGGTACACATCTGTAGTGCTTTGCTCACCATGTTTAGTGCCAATATATTAAAATCATGAGCATCCTTGAAACCCTGGGGTATATGTAGGACAAGTTGAAGATGCACTATTTAATCTGGCAGAGACTTGGGGCAGAATTCCAGGGTTGAGAAGAGTGACACTTCTAGCCATCACATCTTTCAGTCTCAGGACCTGCTGCAACCCCGGTAAGTTATCCCCAGCTGATCACAACAGTTTTTCTGTGGGATACACACCACCACCTCAACCCATTGACCGGTTTTTGTAACTGTTCATTTCCCCTGCTAACCTCACTTTCTGGCCACTTCCTTCCTACCCCCTTCACTAAATAGGGCACAAAGAGTTAATTTCCTTTTTAAAAAAAGCAAAAGCAGTTTGAAGAGTTACTAAGAAACTTAAATGAGATAAAAATAGAAAGCATACACACACACAGATAAATGATTTTTTTCCTCAGTAAGGCCTGCTCTAATCATATTAAAGATTGCAAATCCCCCACACCCATCTTTGCATCTCTCTTATTCTGCTCTATTTTTTATAGCCTTCATCCCCTTTAATATAGTTAATTAATGAAGTGTCTTGTTTGCAGTCTGTCTCCTTCCACCAGAATGCAAACTCCACAAAGACAGGGACTTTTGTTTAGCTTCACTGCAGGATACATAACAAGCCTTAGAACTGTCCCAGGCACAGAGAGTAAACAATAGATATTTACTAAACAAATTGCCTGTGCTAAACACCACGTAAAAGTGTTGCCAACAACTGAAACCTGGTTAGTTTCTGAATTGTGTCCTGTATCCAAGGTGGACATCCAGGCCTGGTTTGATCTTGTTTCCCAAAGCGCAGGCCATCTTGGGCTACACTAGTCCACGCCTGTCTGTCTTTTTGCCTCTGAGATAAACTGTTTTTCTGGCTAGACAATTCCTAAGGTCCTCTCCACCCTTATGTTTTGTGTCTCTCCCATGACTTCCTTCTTCTTGACTGTGAGGACATTTATGCCCTTCTCTTACTGGGAGGAAAACTTGAGCTCCAGATAAGAAAAACCATCCTCCCCATGAGGCTGCACTTACTTAGCTTATCAGCTTTACCCACGCATGGACATATGATGGAATGCTTAATCAGCCCAATTTCCTCTATGAGGAGGTAATTGTGCATTATGATTATTTAAGTTTAGTACCTCCCCCCACTAATTTTTATTATGCATTTTTTTCTAACATGAAAGTAGATGGCATTTTATTCTAATAATCCACTCCTTATCCCAAGAAGTAAAATAGGCCAAAAATAAAAGTTTAGAAAATGTTTTGAAATTTTCATGGATTGCACACATATAATAGGCTTTATTGTGGGCTACACTGATGTTTGGGAGGTTTGCTGTCTGATCTTTAAGGTGAAGGAGGACCATGATTTTTTTCCCGGGCATTAGCCCTGGTTGCCACTGGAATATTACCCTTATAAAAATGTGGAAAAAACAGGAGGCAGTTTTTAAGAGATGGAATGAAGAAATGGTATATGATCTGAGGTTGTTTAAATTAAGATAATCATTTCTAAAGAAATAAATTTTACGAAATGGCTATTAAATCTTTTTAATGCCTCGGGACAATAATACAAGGAAGTGATCTTAAATAACACGATACAAAAAAATCAACAGTTAGACTTGGGAATTTGACCCTCCAGTTGATTAACAAGGAATCGGCCATAAAGATGAGGGAGGGAGGGAGGAGGCGATCATCTTGGATATCTCAGAGGAAGAAAGAATCATTGACCCTGGGTGGTTTTAACTGGACACTGGTACAGAAATACAAACTTCAAATTGAAAAGAAGCTAACTCAAATGTCTCTTGTGTAAGGCGCAAGGTACCTGCTCTTCTATGCAACAGACTCTACTAATTCTCTTCGAAGTAAACCGTATCACAAAGCTATTTTTCTTCCATAAGCAGATCACAGACATGGGCTTAGAAAATTGTGCAAGTGGGCGAGACTACCATTCTGAAATATTCCCAGGTTATAAACCAAAGAGGAAGTTGCATTCTCCAGTCACATTAAAATAGGAAGAAGGATAGTTCATTTGTAAAGGTTCAAAGATAGTATGACTCTGAAGAATGATTTTTCATTTCATTTGTAATGGGTTGATGATTGCACAGGAACTTTGATAAAGGACACTCACTCTACATGCATCCGAGGATACCAGTTTTGCCACACCATGGTCTGAATTTATTTTCTTTTTAACTGAAATTGCATTATAAGATATCTTGATCTCTCATTTTACATTTCATTCATCATAAGGGGATACTTACTGTTAAAGATGCTAGAGTACCTCAGCAAATCCTTCATGAAACTTAACAACTATGAGAGCATCATATGGCCCTAAAGGAAAGATAAAGGCCACAAAAACATCATCTGCCACAACATGATCAAACGGCAGCTCTGAGCCAGTGACAATTCATCCTGTTTTTATTAAGTACACAGCCTAATCTTTTTCTAATATAAAAAACCACTGGTCTTATTCAAACAATTTCATTTTACCTTGTGCAATCAGAAGAGTCTGTTTTTTTCTTTTTAACTTAACTTTTGCCACAAAATAATATAATTATAGCAAGAAGTTTATAAAACAAAAGAAAAAATATCACCCATAATCCTACCACCCCAAAATGTTTTGGTACATTCCCTTCTGGTACATTTTCCCCGGCATCGAAGTTTTTACATAGTTTTCAAATAGAAATGCAAATTATGACAGAGACAAACTAATATAAACTATTCTAGTGGATCTATCATAGTGTAGTCTAAGATTTCTATTGTATATTTGTTTCCAGTTTTATTTGTAATGAAACCTTTGACAAAAGTGCAGGAAGTATTTTTCATATTTTATATTATTTCATTAAATTGGGTTCCCAGGAAGCCTAATTGGCATGAATAGTAGTATTATTCTCTACATACATTACATACTTGGATTTCATAGGATTTTTGCCAATTACAATGGAACCTTCAACATAGGAGGATATCAGCTTCATCACATCCTTGCTTGTACTGAGCGTTCATATAAGAAGCTTTTTGTTGTTAATTTAATGGGCAAAAAAAAAAGTTCCTTGTGCTTTTCTTTTGTCTATCTTCAGTTTTAGTGACAGTTAACGGTTTCCAGATATTTATATACTTGGGTAAACGAAATTTATGCCCTTCCTTCTAATCCTTCATTCTTAGGTTGTTTCTGCACTTCCGTGCTCCAATGTTAATGTTGTATTGTGTTGAACTGTGCAGAAGAAACTCCATTTACCTTAGACATGTCATGGAGAAGTTTTGAGTTAGAACATTCAGAGAGTGAGCAGGGGAAGTAGAAGTATAAACTAACGAGCTGGAGCTTTTGAGAGTCTAGATGGGAGAGAGAACTAGGTTCTAGGAAAGCAGTTGCTTTAACAAATGGAATTCTGGGGAACAGAAAAGAGTAAAGTGGATTTTAGGACATTTTATGAGTGTCATATAGTGTAAATCCTTCGTTAAGTCTCTGACAGATTCTGAGAGTCTTCTCTTAGTTTTTACATTGTTCCTGGAATTGAATTTACTTAGCTGTTGTCAAGCAATACTATGTTATGTTAGTCTTGAGATGGCACAGGTAAATGCATGTTATATGTGCTGCTAGTGGCACGTTCTGGCCCTAAGAGGAAGCTCAAGATCATTCCTAGGCAGGAAGGTGTGGATAAGAGTCAAGTCTCTGGCATAACTGGGCCATTGAAATGAGGGATATGGGGGATTTGACAATTCCAAGAAATTCTTCATTCTGTGATGCTAGCTTTCAAAGATTCCTTTTCTTACTTGGAATGCTATTTTCTCGTGAAACGTTCAATGGTGTGTTATTCCAAGCCTGGACCCCAATCTATTTTCCCATATCCTTTCTAAGAAGGCCTAGGCTGGTATCTTGAGAAATCTATCCTTAGCCTCAGGGCAAAATACTATTTTTTCCATGGTCTCATCTATCTTTGCCTCTTAGTACAAAGTGGTAAGATGTCAAGGACCAAGATTAGATAGGTAGAGACTGGGAACAAGTCTGGGGATCTGCTTTTAGTCTGGGTCTTGTCCAGAGGGTCAAAAGGGTTGATATGTGAGCCAGCCCAGTTCAAGAGGAGTGTACACGAGGGTCTGAATGCCAGGAAGCTTCTGGTTAACAGTTGTTTGGCCCATTCTAATTTTATATATATATATATCTTTTATGAATCTGAAGAACTGCTTATCATCTGGTATTTGGGATCTTAGCCTAAAAATTTCCATGTCATCATGACTAATAGTGGAATTTTTTCTTTTGTTCCATTGTACATTTAAGGTCTTTGTCCTTTTATTTATTGTGAAAGTACACAGGCTCTACAGATAGGCAGGTTGCCTTGTTAGACTCAGGCTAGCCCATTTTTGTGGTTTTGAGCAAGCTACCTAAACCCTCTGTGTCTCAGTTTCTGTGCCTATAAAAATGGGTGTAATAAGAAGAATACCCTTCTCACACATTGTTGTTTGCATTAAATTGGAATCTCCGTATCTAAATTTTGAACAGTTTATTAAGTGCTTGGTGTATGTTAACTTTTACAACTGTTACTATCATTACTACTACCACTACTGTTACTTGTCTGACAACACTATAAACACTTTATTATATTTTTCACATATCTCCCTTTGATCTACTGCCTTATTTTCCTTTCAAAGCACACAGGTGTACATCACATTTGTTGATCTATTTTGATTTTCTTTATTACACTAAAAGTTCAAAAAGTTGGCCTTATTCTAGCTGCTTGATAAATATTCTTTTTTTTTTAACTTGAGCTTTTCTGTGATTTGACTTTTAAAATAGCTGCCAAGAACATATAACATTACCCTTTTGTTTTGAGGAGAACCTTCTGGTGTCTTAATGTGTATAATTAATCTTTAAATAATTCCCTGAGTCCTCATACTTGTTTATGTAACTAAATCAAGGAGCGGTGAGCTTTCTGGTTTCTGCAGAGCCTCAGGGACTCTGTAGCTTGTGCAGCCCATACTTACAGATAATCACTTACCATCACTGTTGTGGGCCTCAATATTTCTATCCCTAAAATCAGAGAGGGCTGGGAGTATTTACAAGTAAATACATGAAGTATTTCAGAGACTTTCAGGTTGGAGAGCACCCTAGGATCCTGTAACCAGAGCAGCCAGAGGACTAATAGCTCCTTCACCTTTGAAACATAGGAATGTCCAAAACCCTTCCTACCCCATCCCTGCCCTTAGCATAGTGTTTCTAAAAAGAAATAGAAAAGAAATGAAATAAATCAAAAGCAAAAATCACGAACTTACAGTTTTGCAAAGTCAAAAGAACCACATTTGAAAGGAGGCAGAATATAATGCCATGCTCAAAACAGGGACCGAGCAGCGGTCCAACCCAACAGCGCCACGCCGGTGCCGCCTATCACAGACTAGTTACTGATGTCTGTATACCGCAGTTTCTTCCTGTGTAAGAGCAAGAATTATACTCTGCCCAACCGCCCCATCAGATTCTTTGGAAACTAACAAAAATAGCTTGTACAAAGACCCCAGTTTAATTTAATAGTTTAATAATGTTTTTAACTCCATAGTTTGCAATTTTTTGGAATATTGCCAACAAAGATTTTTAAGTGAGAAGCCATTTTTGCAAACAGGAATAAAGGAAATAATGCCTGGAAGTTCTTCCAGGGAAGAGATTAAATAAATGCCTCATGTTGGTCTTGGGGACTATAATGAGTCCCCATATCTAGTAATTCCAGGAATTAAATGATCTTAACCTCTTTGCAGTGTGGTTGACAGAAACTGCCTTATTTAAGGCTTCATTTTCCTCCTAACAAAGTATGCTTCTACCTTCTTATTTACCATCTACGGGCATTTGTGAGGACCAACTGTGACCCCCTGAGGTCCTTTAGTTATAAATAAAAATATTTAGCTGAAATATTTTATTACTTAAAGCAACTATTCCAAGTCACTATTTTAAGTCGCTATTTCCTGTCTATTGTATTACTGGGAATCCACTAGCTCTTCCTGCCTATTCGATAGAGTTTGGGGGGACCCTTGGGCAGCCTTCCTTCTTTCCTTCTGTTCTGCTTTTCTCCTTCCTTTTTGATATGCATTTCATGATCCTCTCAGAAGTGCTCTGTCAGCCTTATTAGACTCGTGCGTCAATCACCCATACAACCCAGCAAGAATAAGAAGTACCTTTGCAATCCTGATCAGACTGGCTCCAGGTTCCCTGGTGCATACAGAAAATGAAGGCTTTTCCCACCAACAGGTAGCCTGGGTCACAAGTGTAGGTGACTGTCATCCCAGGGAGATAGGGAGCTACACGTCCTCCGATGAGATGCCCATTGCGGATCTTGGGTGGAGGTGGGCATGCTAAGGGAAAGTCCCCCCAGGCACAAGGAAAGACATTCAGTTAGACAAAGAAGTCTGAATCCGCCAACACGTGTGGTAATATCTCTATAAGAGCCGCAGGAAGACACAAGGCACTAAATGTTTGCTGATCAGCGGGAAGCCTGATTGTCTAAACGCAGACGTCTCAGCCTTTAAACAGGATCATGCGCAAACTGCACCAGACTGGAGTACCACCAGATCTACAAACTACGAGTTCAGTGCCGTCTGTCCTCAGTGGAGGACGGAGCTTGTGTGGAAAATCACAGACACAAATGAGCCTCTGATTGTTGGGTGGTGTCATCTAATGCCAGCATTAAGGACTAATATCATTAAGGACTAATATGGAAAAGGAATGAGCTGCAGGGGCCAAGTGTACAACCTTAAATAAGCTCCACTTCTCCAGGGCGTCCTGAGTTCCCTTTGCTAAATGCAGTCAGAGGCTGAGCAGAACACTTAGAAGTAACAATAGGAATAGAAATGCCTACATCTTCATGTTTTTAATTCTTTCTATAGCACCATCAAATCTGAAGTAAATTACTGCCATCAATGTGTGCTTTTTGCTCTGCATACCCATCTGCTTAATGTAAAGACAACTAGCAATAGAGATGGCATTAGAGAGCATTTTCTTCTGCATTTCAAAATATTCTCTATAAACCTGGTCCTCACTGATTCTCTCCTCGCCACCACACACTCCTCACCCCCAAGGGATAGGTCATCAAAGCACCAATGGGACATAGCGTGGCACATCTACAAGCGTCTGCTGTTCTCCTGGCAGGTCATTCCATGTCTGACATTCACAGCAAAGCCATGTTCACAAGCAAAATGACCGTCAATATAGAAATCCGGAAGCTGTCGCCTAGATATTCTGACCCATCTGTGGGGTGGGGCCCGTGCACTGACCTGCAGGACCAGAAAGCCCACAGCGAGGGGTGGGGCTGCTCCAAACCCCGGTCCCTTGACTGTCACTCATGCAGCAGAGGGTGCCCTCCCCAAGGAGGGTAAAGGTCATCCCTCTGTCTGGGTGGGGGTCACATGTGTAAGTTACTTCTTTCCCAAAAGGAAAGACTTCCTGAGGTTCTCCTGTGTGTTTCCCATTAAGGATAGCTGGAGGATTTGGACACAGGATTTCTAGAAAGAACACCAAGATTTGGGGTCCATTGGCGTTTCAGTAAAAATGATTACATTTTTCCCGGGCATTAGCCCTGGTTGCCACTGGAATATTACCCTTATAAAAATGTGGAAAAAACAGGAGGCAGTTTTTAAGAGATGGAATGAAGAAATGGTATATGATCTGAGGTTGTTTAAATTAAGATAATCATTTCTAAAGAAATAAATTTTACGAAATGGCTATTAAATCTTTTTAATGCCTCGGGACAATAATACAAGGAAGTGATCTTAAATAACAAGATACAAAAAAATCAACAGTTAGACTTGGGAATTTGACCCTCCAGTTGATTAACAAGGAATCGGCCATAAAGATGAGGGAGGGAGGGAGGAGGCGATCATCTTGGATATCTCAGAGGAAGAAAGAATCATTGACCCTGGGTGGTTTTAACTGGACACTGGTACAGAAATACAAACTTCAAATTGAAAAGAAGCTAACTCAAATGTCTCTTGTGTAAGGCGCAAGGTACCTGCTCTTCTATGCAACAGACTCTACTAATTCTCTTTGAAGTAAACCGTATCACAAAGCTATTTTTCTTCCATAAGCAGATCACAGACATGGGCTTAGAAAATTGTGCAAGTGGGCGAGACTACCATTCTGAAATATTCCCAGGTTATAAACCAAAGAGGAAGTTGCATTCTCCAGTCACATTAAAATAGGAAGAAGGATAGTTCATTTGTAAAGGTTCAAAGATAGTATGACTCTGAAGAATGATTTTTCATTTCATTTGTAATGGGTTGATGATTGCACAGGAACTTTGATAAAGGACACTCACTCTACATGCATCCGAGGATACCAGTTTTGCCACACCATGGTCTGAATTTATTTTCTTTTTAACTGAAATTGCATTATAAGATATCTTGATCTCTCATTTTACATTTCATTCATCATAAGGGGATACTTACTGTTAAAGATGCTAGAGTACCTCAGCAAATCCTTCATGAAACTTAACAACTATGAGAGCATCATATGGCCCTAAAGGAAAGATAAAGGCCACAAAAACATCATCTGCCACAACATGATCAAACGGCAGCTCTGAGCCAGTGACAATTCATCCTGTTTTTATTAAGTACACAGCCTAATCTTTTTCTAATATAAAAAACCACTGGTCTTATTCAAACAATTTCATTTTACCTTGTGCAATCAGAAGAGTCTGTTTTTTTCTTTTTAACTTAACTTTTGCCACAAAATAATATAATTATAGCAAGAAGTTTATAAAACAAAAGAAAAAATATCACCCATAATCCTACCACCCCAAAATGTTTTGGTACATTCCCTTCTGGTACATTTTCCCCGGCATCGAAGTTTTTACATAGTTTTCAAATAGAAATGCAAATTATGACAGAGACAAACTAATATAAACTATTCTAGTGGATCTATCATAGTGTAGTCTAAGATTTCTATTGTATATTTTTTTCCAGTTTTATTTGTAATGAAACCTTTGACAAAAGTGCAGGAAGTATTTTTCATATTTTATATTATTTCATTAAATTGGGTTCCCAGGAAGCCTAATTGGCATGAATAGTAGTATTATTCTCTACATACATTACATACTTGGATTTCATAGGATTTTTGCCAATTACAATGGAACCTTCAACATAGGAGGATATCAGCTTCATCACATCCTTGCTTGTACTGAGCGTTCATATAAGAAGCTTTTTGTTGTTAATTTAATGGGCAAAAAAAAAAGTTCCTTGTGCTTTTCTTTTGTCTATCTTCAGTTTTAGTGACAGTTAACGGTTTCCAGATATTTATATACTTGGGTAAACGAAATTTATGCCCTTCCTTCTAATCCTTCATTCTTAGGTTGTTTCTGCACTTCCGTGCTCCAATGTTAATGTTGTATTGTGTTGAACTGTGCAGAAGAAACTCCATTTACCTTAGACATGTCATGGAGAAGTTTTGAGTTAGAACATTCAGAGAGTGAGCAGGGGAAGTAGAAGTATAAACTAACGAGCTGGAGCTTTTGAGAGTCTAGATGGGAGAGAGAACTAGGTTCTAGGAAAGCAGTTGCTTTAACAAATGGAATTCTGGGGAACAGAAAAGAGTAAAGTGGATTTTAGGACATTTTATGAGTGTCATATAGTGTAAATCCTTCGTTAAGTCTCTGACAGATTCTGAGAGTCTTCTCTTAGTTTTTACATTGTTCCTGGAATTGAATTTACTTAGCTGTTGTCAAGCAATACTATGTTATGTTAGTCTTGAGATGGCACAGGTAAATGCATGTTATATGTGCTGCTAGTGGCACGTTCTGGCCCTAAGAGGAAGCTCAAGATCATTCCTAGGCAGGAAGGTGTGGATAAGAGTCAAGTCTCTGGCATAACTGGGCCATTGAAATGAGGGATATGGGGGATTTGACAATTCCAAGAAATTCTTCATTCTGTGATGCTAGCTTTCAAAGATTCCTTTTCTTACTTGGAATGCTATTTTCTCGTGAAACGTTCAATGGTGTGTTATTCCAAGCCTGGACCCCAATCTATTTTCCCATATCCTTTCTAAGAAGGCCTAGGCTGGTATCTTGAGAAATCTATCCTTAGCCTCAGGGCAAAATACTATTTTTTCCATGGTCTCATCTATCTTTGCCTCTTAGTACAAAGTGGTAAGATGTCAAGGACCAAGATTAGATAGGTAGAGACTGGGAACAAGTCTGGGGATCTGCTTTTAGTCTGGGTCTTGTCCAGAGGGTCAAAAGGGTTGATATGTGAGCCAGCCCAGTTCAAGAGGAGTGTACACGAGGGTCTGAATGCCAGGAAGCTTCTGGTTAACAGTTGTTTGGCCCATTCTAATTTTATATATATATATATCCTTTATGAATCTGAAGAACTGCTTATCATCTGGTATTTGGGATCTTAGCCTAAAAATTTCCATGTCATCATGACTAATAGTGGAATTTTTTCTTTTGTTCCATTGTACATTTAAGGTCTTTGTCCTTTTATTTATTGTGAAAGTACACAGGCTCTACAGATAGGCAGGTTGCCTTGTTAGACTCAGGCTAGCCCATTTTTGTGGTTTTGAGCAAGCTACCTAAACCCTCTGTGTCTCAGTTTCTGTGCCTATAAAAATGGGTGTAATAAGAAGAATACCCTTCTCACACATTGTTGTTTGCATTAAATTGGAATCTCCGTATCTAAATTTTGAACAGTTTATTAAGTGCTTGGTGTATGTTAACTTTTACAACCGTTACTATCATTACTACTACCACTACTGTTACTTGTCTGACAACACTATAAACACTTTATTATATTTTTCACATATCTCCCTTTGATCTACTGCCTTATTTTCCTTTCAAAGCACACAGGTGTACATCACATTTGTTGATCTATTTTGATTTTCTTTATTACACTAAAAGTTCAAAAAGTTGGCCTTATTCTAGCTGCTTGATAAATATTCTTTTTTTTTTAACTTGAGCTTTTCTGTGATTTGACTTTTAAAATAGCTGCCAAGAACATATAACATTACCCTTTTGTTTTGAGGAGAACCTTCTGGTGTCTTAATGTGTATAATTAATCTTTAAATAATTCCCTGAGTCCTCATACTTGTTTATGTAACTAAATCAAGGAGCGGTGAGCTTTCTGGTTTCTGCAGAGCCTCAGGGACTCTGTAGCTTGTGCAGCCCATTCTTACAGATAATCACTTACCATCACTGTTGTGGGCCTCAATATTTCTATCCCTAAAATCAGAGAGGGCTGGGAGTATTTACAAGTAAATACATGAAGTATTTCAGAGACTTTCAGGTTGGAGAGCACCCTAGGATCCTGTAACCAGAGCAGCCAGAGGACTAATAGCTCCTTCACCTTTGAAACATAGGAATGTCCAAAACCCTTCCTACCCCATCCCTGCCCTTAGCATAGTGTTTCTAAAAAGAAATAGAAAAGAAATGAAATAAATCAAAAGCAAAAATCACGAACTTACAGTTTTGCAAAGTCAAAAGAACCACATTTGAAAGGAGGCAGAATATAATGCCATGCTCAAAACAGGGACCGAGCAGCGGTCCAACCCAACAGCGCCACGCCGGTGCCGCCTATCACAGACTAGTTACTGATGTCTGTATACCGCAGTTTCTTCCTGTGTAAGAGCAAGAATTATACTCTGCCCAACCGCCCCATCAGATTCTTTGGAAACTAACAAAAATAGCTTGTACAAAGACCCCAGTTTAATTTAATAGTTTAATAATGTTTTTAACTCCATAGTTTGCAATTTTTTGGAATATTGCCAACAAAGATTTTTAAGTGAGAAGCCATTTTTGCAAACAGGAATAAAGGAAATAATGCCTGGAAGTTCTTCCAGGGAAGAGATTAAATAAATGCCTCATGTTGGTCTTGGGGACTATAATGAGTCCCCATATCTAGTAATTCCAGGAATTAAATGATCTTAACCTCTTTGCAGTGTGGTTGACAGAAACTGCCTTATTTAAGGCTTCATTTTCCTCCTAACAAAGTATGCTTCTACCTTCTTATTTACCATCTACGGGCATTTGTGAGGACCAACTGTGACCCCCTGAGGTCCTTTAGTTATAAATAAAAATATTTAGCTGAAATATTTTATTACTTAAAGCAACTATTCCAAGTCACTATTTTAAGTCGCTATTTCCTGTCTATTGTATTACTGGGAATCCACTAGCTCTTCCTGCCTATTCGATAGAGTTTGGGGGGACCCTTGGGCAGCCTTCCTTCTTTCCTTCTGTTCTGCTTTTCTCCTTCCTTTTTGATATGCATTTCATGATCCTCTCAGAAGTGCTCTGTCAGCCTTATTAGACTCGTGCGTCAATCACCCATACAACCCAGCAAGAATAAGAAGTACCTTTGCAATCCTGATCAGACTGGCTCCAGGTTCCCTGGTGCATACAGAAAATGAAGGCTTTTCCCACCAACAGGTAGCCTGGGTCACAAGTGTAGGTGACTGTCATCCCAGGGAGATAGGGAGCTACACGTCCTCCGATGAGATGCCCATTGCGGATCTTGGGTGGAGGTGGGCATGCTAAGGGAAAGTCCCCCCAGGCACAAGGAAAGACATTCAGTTAGACAAAGAAGTCTGAATCCGCCAACACGTGTGGTAATATCTCTATAAGAGCCGCAGGAAGACACAAGGCACTAAATGTTTGCTGATCAGCGGGAAGCCTGATTGTCTAAACGCAGACGTCTCAGCCTTTAAACAGGATCATGCGCAAACTGCACCAGACTGGAGTACCACCAGATCTACAAACTACGAGTTCAGTGCCGTCTGTCCTCAGTGGAGGACGGAGCTTGTGTGGACAATCACAGACACAAATGAGCCTCTGATTGTTGGGTGGTGTCATCTAATGCCAGCATTAAGGACTAATGTCATTAAGGACTAATATGGAAAAGGAATGAGCTGCAGGGGCCAAGTGTACAACCTTAAATAAGCTCCACTTCTCCAGGGCGTCCTGAGTTCCCTTTGCTAAATGCAGTCAGAGGCTGAGCAGAACACTTAGAAGTAACAATAGGAATAGAAATGCCTACATCTTCATGTTTTTAATTCTTTCTATAGCACCATCAAATCTGAAGTAAATTACTGCCATCAATGTGTGCTTTTTGCTCTGCATACCCATCTGCTTAATGTAAAGACAACTAGCAATAGAGATGGCATTAGAGAGCATTTTCTTCTGCATTTCAAAATATTCTCTATAAACCTGGTCCTCACTGATTCTCTCCTCGCCACCACACACTCCTCACCCCCAAGGGATAGGTCATCAAAGCACCAATGGGACATAGCGTGGCACATCTACAAGCGTCTGCTGTTCTCCTGGCAGGTCATTCCATGTCTGACATTCACAGCAAAGCCATGTTCACAAGCAAAATGACCGTCAATATAGAAATCCGGAAGCTGTCGCCTAGATATTCTGACCCATCTGTGGGGTGGGGCCCGTGCACTGACCTGCAGGACCAGAAAGCCCACAGCGAGGGGTGGGGCTGCTCCAAACCCCGGTCCCTTGACTGTCACTCATGCAGCAGAGGGTGCCCTCCCCAAGGAGGGTAAAGGTCATCCCTCTGTCTGGGTGGGGGTCACATGTGTAAGTCACTTCTTTCCCAAAAGGAAAGACTTCCTGAGGTTCTCCTGTGTGTTTCCCATTAAGGATAGCTGGAGGATTTGGACACAGGATTTCTAGAAAGAACACCAAGATTTGGGGTCCATTGGCGTTTCAGTAAAAATGATTACACAATAATGGTGCCCTGGGACTGTGTTACGATGCTTTTCTATGAGAACACAACCAAGGTGAGTGGAATGAAATAAGCGTGACTTTCAGAGAAGGAAGAAACTGAGGTGAGACTTCAGTTACAGTTTATGGCAGGAGTTCCAGGCCCTCCAGGTAGCTCCATTTTCAATCAATTTGGAAGGTAATTTTTTTTTTTCTGTTTGGCTACTTTATGTCAGGCATCATAAGAGTCCTGAGTTGACAATGAGGTACAAGACAGACAAGTTGGCCCTCAAAGACGTTTGAGAGAATCCTTTTTAAAGCTTGTTGAATATGGGCTCTCATTTTTAGCTGATAGAGATGTCCCCATTGACCTAATAACAACAGGATGTTACAGAGTACAGGACAAATTAAAACATGAGAGGCTGAATGTCCCTCTGCAAAGCAGTCCTTTATTTCTAAAGACAAACTTACAATTTTACCTCTACTTAATCCATCTTCATTCCTGTTTCCTCATAACTCAATGCAATATTTCCCTTATTCGTCATGGGATGAATTGTGTGTTGTACTTGTCTTTAGGGAAGCTCAACAGCTTTTTTTACCCATGTATACTTCTACCAGGAAATTATAAACTCCTTGATTATGTGGGGAAGATGTTTTTCTGAAATAAGTAGCTCCTAGTCTAGAGATTTTCAAACATGGGGTGCTCAAAAAAATCTGATGATTGAAGGAAATAATGATGACTTTCCCCTAAAGATTCCATAAATGAGAACCAGAGGGAATAGCTAATCATTTGCACACTTTAAATGTGAAAGGCAGGGATATTTCACCCACTTTCATGAAACCATCCAAATTAGGACAGAAAATGTGGAACATTTCATTATCATTTTTATTTATTAGGTATCTATACTGTTACTGTGAGACATGTCACAAAGGATGCTCAGCTGAGCTATTCATGTGTTCCCTTGTACAACCGGGTTAAACTTGATTAAGTAAAAGGTATATTGCAATGTCATATAACAGTGAGGTAGTTAGTGGACCAGTTAAGAACCATGCCTCCTGATTACCTAAGGCATGTGGTCAGGGCAGTAACCAACTGCAGCAGAGACCACTGGTATCTCCAGGATCCACTTTCCTCTTCATTAGTAACAGAAACCTGTATTTTCAACTGGGCCACTGTCATTTCTCAGCTTCCCTTACAGCCTGATTCAAGGGACTAAGTTCGGGCTAGAGAAGGGAAGTGGAGTGCCAGGGGTCACTTCTGGAAAGTGTCCTTAAAGGGATGGTGTTCCTTTCTCCCATTCTTTCTCTTAGCTGGCTGGAGTTTGGACCATGAGATGACACGGAGTCTCTGGTGGAAGGATCCTAGGTTTCTGTGGATCATGGAGTCACCGTATGAGCCTCAGATAGCCCATAGTTCTTAACCTGAGAATTAAACTTCTATCTTGTTTAAGCTTCTAGTATTTTTTTCTCCTTTACAGTTTAACCTCGACTGATATATTGTAACAGTGTGAAACAGTTGGTCTCTCTGCCTTCTTATTGTCTCTGTCTCCTTTGCTGCCTTAGTCTCTGCGTCAGAAAGCTTCTGCTCAGCCCTACAGCCCTGCGCATAGGCTTGTTAATCATCAAAAGGAATTTTGCTCGTGACTTAAGACTGATGCAACCAGCCCCTTATCTTTATCTTCCCTGCTGAGATAAAGATGTACAGAAATAGGGACGTCCCTCAAGGCCAGACCCAGGACAAGGAAATGATTGTTAGTCAACTAAGCAAGGACAAGGGGTTCACAACCCTCCTCAGGCCTTTGCTGACCTCCAGACGTCTGAGGCTGATTGTCACCTCCTGACCTAAACCCCCTCCCGCTCCCCATTCCCTAATATGAAGAAAGCTTGAAATCAACCCTTAGTTAAGGCGGTGCCACCTAAGCGGGTTCCCAAAGGAACACCTTGCAAAGCAAAACGCACTCTTGCGTTGGGCCGTGGAGGGGTGACAGTGCGGAAGGTGGGTGGGTGCTTCAGAGACACTCAGCCGCACAAGCAGGGCCATCGGTTGTGACGCGCTCCCTGCTGGCAGCGGGTGCCCCCCCCCCGTAGTCTGTGGGTGGAGCCGTGTCGCAGGGGCCTGGGGCAGTGCTGGGCTGGGTCATGGACTGAAGCAGGGAGGGGAGGGGGCTGTGCCCCCGCACGCCTGTTGCATCCCGTTGGCACTGCCCGCCTGCTGTAGGCGTCTGCGAACATTCAGCTCAGTTGCAGCGTGGCTCACGCCACACCTGCCCCCTGCGCTGCCAGTTCGGGACCCCCAGGAGCACTCCTACTAACTTCTATATGGTACTAACTGCATTTACGATACTTTATTGCAGAGGTAAGAGAAATAAATGCTGATGAGTTCTTAATAAAAATGAGACACATCAAATCTTCGACAAATTCAGGTGGAACAAAGTGTAAAGTCTAGAAACCAATAGCTCCTCAGTTAAGATGTTGGTCCTTTGAGAAGCTGGTGTAGTTTGAGGGGTTACCTAGCTGACTATTGTGTCCATATCTCGGGGCAGCGTAAGTTTTCCTTGAACACGAAAAAGGGTATTTTGTGTTTGTTCTGATGTGATAGCGCCCCACCCTACCTCCTGGGTACATTCAGCCAAATAGCCTCTAAATGAGTGAGTGGTTTATAGTCCCTCCCCAACAGGTTCTTCTCATACTGTTCTGGGATGGACTGTGGACATTGATTTTTTGTTTTGTTTTAAAGTTTCCTGGGTGATTCTAACGCTCCACCACGGACGAGAGCCCCTCAGTGGTCCTGCCTCTCGGAGGCTTCACTACTCAGTGGCCAAGGACCCCTGGCACCGGGGTATTAGTTCCCTGTGGCTTCTGTAACAAGTCCCACAAGCTTGGTGTGTGTCTGTGTCTCCTCGGGCTGCTCTAGCAACATGCCACAGACTGGGCAGCTTAGAAACAACAGGAACATATCTCTCAGGGTTTGGGAGGCTGGGAAGTCCAAGATCAAGGGGCTGGCAGATTTGGGGTCTGGGGAGAGCCAGCTGTCTCACAGGTGATGCCCTCCAGCTCTAACTCCGATGGCAGAGGACCGAGGGAACTTCCTTGGGTCTTTGTTTTAGAAGGACACTAACCCATGAGTGAGTCACTTCCTGGTGGCCCACCTAACACTATCATTTTGGCGGTTAGGATTTTAACATGGGAATTTGGGGGGACACAAACATTCACACAATATCAGTGACTTAAAAACATGTGTTCTCATAATGTGGGAGGTCAGAAGTCTGAAATGAGTTTCCGGGCTGAAATCAAGGCGTTGGCAGGGCCGTGCCCCCTCCAGAGGCGCCAGGGGGGAATCTGCTTCCTTCCTTTCCCAGCTTCTAGAGCTGCACTCTGTTCCCTGGCTTGCGGCCCCTTCCTCCGTCCTGAAAGCCAGCAGGGTAGCATTTTGCTGCAGTGGTCACATGGCCTTCTGTTGTCCTCAGGTCTCCCTCTGCCTTCCTCTTCCAAGGATACTTGCGATTGCATTTAGGTCCCCACCTGGATAATCCAGGCTACTATCCCCATCCAAGATCTCATGTGCAAAGTCACTCTGCCATATAGGTGACGTCCACAAGGCCCAGTGTTAGGATTCCAGTATCTCTGGAGGCCAGTGTACAGCCTGCCCCAAACAGCAGCGTGTGGAATTTGGAGAAGTGACTGAGCTCAGGCCCCACCTGAGGCCAAATGAGTATGAATTCGCACTTTAACAAGATCACGATGATTCACTTGCACACGAAAATTCGGGAAGCATGGTGCTAATGGGATCCTACCCAAGGAATTCTCCCCATGATTGGATCCCACAGCAAATACAAATTGAAGGACCTTTCACGTGGCAGTGGGGATCACAGGACCAGTGATTTCCCCTCACGCTCTAAGTGCTCGTCAGAGTGGCAGTAGTTTCCACAACTGTCAGTGAGGCCTCAGCCTTAAGCACCAGGCTGCCGGAGCTCTTTCTTCCCTCCCATAGTTGGCACAAGGCTTGCCACTGTAACATGATCACCTGGTTTTTAAAGTTATGTAAGGGAAGTAAATTATACAACCTAAGTGGCTTCTCCTGCTAACATCAGTTTCACTACCCTATACAGGTTTTCCTGGGCTAGCAAGTCAGGGTTTGGTGGGTCACTTTCTCAATGTCATCTATGCTTATGGCAATTAGTTCCTCTTCTCTTATGTAAGCAAGAGGGAAGGAAAAATAGTTTATTGACCATTGACACCAATATTATACTTCCCCCAGATTTAAGCAATAAAGGGCAGAGTTTAGCTTTTTTAAAAAACGTTAATTTCACATAAGGAGAGGTGAGAGCTGAAAAGAGTTCATAGTAGCTCCAAAATGAAATTAGAGTGGCTCCTGAGAATCACAGCAATGATTGAAACTTCTGAATGAGTTGAAAGACTAGGAGGAGACTGTCAAATGCTCTAAACAGTCCACAGGAGGGCAGCAGTGCTATGACGCCTAAAGGCTGACCCAACTTCATTTTACTGTAACCTTTTCTGGATGAATCTGGAAACTATGAAAGCAATATAGCTTGTGGGTGGGGCCGGGGGGGTGGGGAATCCATGTGTACAGTCACTCAATATTACATTGTCTGTAAGGTAGCAGACCATGTTAAAATAATGCTCCTGTTATAAATATGCACGTTTTTAACATATGCAATAAAGTTCATTCTTGCTTAAAATGTTAGCTGTCAGACCTTTTAGCTTTGAGAACACCAGAGTTATATATTTTCCTTAAAACTTTCACAATACAAGCTCATTCCTGCCTATTTCAGGTCTTTCCAGCATTCTTGCACAAGACTTTTAATGTTAGTCATAAGCTTTCCCCTTTACTTTACAATTTTCAATATACTGTAGTCTTAACACCAAGTAAAAATAAATGCTGTATTTACAGTCAACTGATTTTCATCTGCTTCTGATAGTAGAATGATTATTCATAGTTCTTAAGTCACAGACAGACTTATTTGATTAATCAGGAATTAATCTGGTTGCCAGGGTTAGATATTTTCTGACTTTTTGAATAGGATAAACTAGTAAAACCACAGTATTCTTTTGAAATATAAAGCTTTACCATGTCTTTGTAAGTTTATATGTAGAAATAGACATGGGGCTTGAGAATCACTAATGCAGACCTCTGCTTTGCTGCATATTAGCATCACTTGGGCCCCAGATCAATTACTAGAGAAGTGTCTTGGGGGTGGGGTCCGGGGAGCAGTAAAGCTCCCAGGTGATTCCAGTGTGCAGCCATGGCTCAGAAACACTTCAAGTGTCCTGCTCTGAAACTTGGACTCGATGCTGTAGGTAATGTGGCGTGACTGACGCCTCTGAGCAGGAGGCCAGAGCTAGTCTGGGAGAGGAGCAGCTCGGGCATCCCTGAGGCTCTGAGATGAGAGGGGTGGGAGATATGTGACTGTCAGGGTGGAGTGGTTAAAGATGATGGGCCATGATCAGAAGCGGACTCTGACTTGAGATAAAACACATGGGAAACAGATGCATCATCACAAAGGAAATTTCTGCAAACCCACATTTTATTTACTAGATTTGAAGGTCCAATTTTCAAAAATGAATAATGAAGACCTCTATACATGCAAATACATTCCTCCAATTAAAAAAAATGGCAAATTCAAATATGCTTCTTTACCCTCATTTAAACCAACTTCTCTAGAAAAACTGGTTTCCCCACATATTTGACAAATTATTTGACAGACAACATACTTTATACCCATAGTTCAACCTCACATATAAATTAAGTAGAAAAATCTGAAGCAGAAACTACTATAAAAGTTTATTTTGGTAAGCATAACAATCTTTGGTTGAAAATGCCTCAATCAGGCTTTAAAAAATATTAATAGTACAGCCACGCCTTCTAAACAAGTGCTATGTTCTTGAAAAGTATGTGAAACCAGGTACAGTAAAACTTCAACTTCAGATTTAATTCAGAATTCCTGTCTATTTCTGCTCGAGCTTCTCTTCCTAAAGTACCTGCCGGAGATCACAAAGGGAAGGGACACTTACAGTATTACAAACACGGCCTAGAGTAAATCAGTACTGCCGCTGGGTCACTCAGGATTCCCAGCCATCTCCTTCTCAAGGCAACCATTCTTTGGCCCGTTTGTGCTACTAAATATAAAAGTGTAAAACAAAGCCTGTAAAAATGGAATTGGAATTGGAGTGGCGGTCCCACCTCTGCCCACTGGCTTATTTGAAAGACCCCTGCCTGGTGTGAGGACTTGAGAGCCACGATCTATTCCTCCAGAGTATAAAGTGCCACCTCAGCTGTTTCCTTTTTTCATCTCTTTTTACAACCAACAGCAAATTCGCAAAAGAAACACGTGTCTTCATTTTCACTCTGCCTTTCAGCAGATGAGGTCAGATGCTCACAAAGACTAAGATTCCGATACAACTTGAGGTTCTCAGATGAATTTATTCCCTGCAAAACTGCCTAGTTTTAGATAACATGCTTAAGGAAAGACATCTCTATTCAAGTAGGGAGAAAAAACTCACCCATAGCCAGAATTTAGAGGGGATTCTAGTTCTTAAAGTGTGGAGTTCCCTTTAAGAAGATGCCCTAAAAGAGGACTACAAGGCCACAATCTTGTTATGGGTGCGTGAGCCCTGTCACTTTGTACTGAAGTATGCAACAGATTCTGAACTATTATTATTTCTTAGATCAATTTATCGATAAAAAGTGTAGATGAATGCCATAAACTTTATAGCTTCTTTCAGTCACAATTCTTAGTTACAAAATTTTTTTTAAAAATACAATTTTACTCTGTTAACTTTAAGAGTATTTTCCACTAATAGTCTTAGTTAACGAAGTCAAGCTTGTTCAAAATCCCAATTTTTACTGTTCTTGTATTTAACGTTTAAGGGCTGAAGTAGTAAACACTTATTTTTAAAGACTTTTGACAATAAACAATATATAACACACGCTAGAATTGTTGAATGATTCTTCAGAATCTGAATCATTGAACAAAATAGATTTCAAAATTACTTTTTTTACAAATGAAATGCAATGTCAATTTGAATTATACCTCTAGATTTGAAGATTTTATTTAAAAAAATCATTTCCCCACATTAATACTACCAGGAATACTGTGTTGACTCTCCAATGTAAGTGCAAGTATTATTTAAGCAGAAACAGGCAAGATGTTCACACCCAAATGCACACGTTTCAAAGCAGCATCAAAGAACAGTGACTACAGTCAAGCCACATTAAAATGTTAGCATTGTCTTAACGGTTGCATTCATGGGTGAAAAAATAATAAAGACAAAAATGAATACATAAAGTGAAAGACCATAACTTCTGCATATCTTAACATTTTAACAGAATCAAAAGATAAACTGATACACTGGTTTATGGAAACCAGTCATTGTCTCTACCCTCTGGAGAGGTTGATTTATCCTGGTAAGTGGTATATATTCACCTCTAACCTCTATTTCTCTACAAGAAAGGTATATAGATAACATCAGAAATGAAATACAGAAGCCTATTTAGAAAATGGACAATTAAAACTGTATTTATAGTACTGAGTCCCCAGTCTAGGAAATAAATGATTTTTAAGAATATTTTCAAATGTTCAACTAGTCTCCCTTGGCAACCGTTCTATCCCTGTATGTATTTTTGATTCCTTCCAAAACAAGAAATAAAGCACTACCATACAAAGCCCTTGCTAAGTATTTCCACAGTTTAATTTAGGGCTAATGGGAAGGACTGGAGAGAACCACATGTTTTCCTAACAGCAATTTAAAATCTGGCTCTGAGATGAAACTTTAAAAAAGTCAATGATTCTAGCAAAGTTCAAGTTCAGTGATGCCTCATTTACCCTTCGCAGTCAGGCACTCATGTATTCCAGTTAAGAGATTCTCCTAAATAAAGTTCACATCACACTTTTACTTTAATAAGAGATACCTTTCTAAAATCTGTTCTATCAGTGCTATCCAATGAGACAGAATGCAAGTCACATAGGTAATTTTAAATTTCCTATAAGCCATATTTTAAATGAAGCAGGCAAAATTGATTCAATAGATTTTACTGAAGCCAAAATGCATATATTTTTACTTTTTCATACTAATCTTTAAAACCAGGTGTAAAATCTTTAATTTTTACATTTAATGGGACACCTTACATTGGACTAGCCACTCCTGAGGTCCTCAGTAGCCATACCTGCTACTGAGTATTGACCTGGGAAATACAGATAGAGGCCCTGCCTTAGGAAATTGGTGGCGATAGACTGAAACTAAGTTTGGCCTTCGGTTGTTTACCAAGATGCTGGCTACAGCAAACACTTGGGAGATGCCACCCAGTATAAGAGCTTACCATGTTAGTTCTGGGTACTTTAATACTTCTCTGTGGGGAGGCCATCATTCTGAACCACCAGTTACAGGACTATACTTGTGATACAGCAATTTCCTAAGGACTACTGTGGGCAGTGACTATATTTAGGCCTGTCACTGAACTCCCTAAGGCTACTCTATTTTTGAAGTCAATACATTTTTTGATGTGTCGTAGAATATTTTCCTCAAAATTTTAAAGAAAATCCAATATATGAGAAAGATTAAAAGAATTAATGTAAAGAACCATTTGAAGATGAAAACATCTGAAATGAAATTCCTAATTACAGTTACATTAACTTCAGCAGTCATTAAATTAACTTGAAAAGTTTACAAATACCTGGAAGCTCAGGACAATCTGAGAACTCCTTTCCTGGTGGGCTTTAGCTTCAAAGGAACTCTGAGACCAAGCAGACACACAAGGCGGGCACATGGCCAGTTCTAGCATGTTGTTCTCCCCTTCGGCTCTGTGAGCAAAGATACCACTGTGGCTTCTCCTATTGGCCTTTCTGCTCCCAAGCGCTTGATTGTAACCGAGGGTAACGCCTCCCACCGTAAGTGGTGGGATACACAGCTCCCTCTTCCCAGCTATGGGGGCACGTTCTGGCCCAAATGCAGGCACTCTCCCAATTCAAGGGCAGAAGGTGGAGGGGGTCAGTGGGTTTAAGGCAGTGCAATTCACTGTTTCAAAACTAAGAATTATTTGTTGGTTTTTTTTGTTCATATACTAACAATATTCTGATCAAAGGAAACAGATCAATGCCTTGATTGCATTGATATTTACAAGTTGAATTTATTTACAAAATTAAATAAAACGTATTTGGGGTTTTAGAAACCGCTATTTTTCCTCCCTGCACTTGAACAGATTCTGTGATTATTTCCCACTGGGCTAAAAATATCCCCTTGCTTTTGGGTTCACAGCTGCTAGAAGGCAGAAGAAGCCAGACAGTCTGATGAAAGGACAAGGCGACACGCCTCTCCCGGAGCCCACGTCAGCGCCTGTCAGTACATGCTACTTATGTGCAAAACGGGAACGGTGTAAGAAAACCTCAGCAACTTAGCAGAGAACAGGAATCTGTGTCCTCTGTGATGTTTACTGCCAGTGTATCTTAGCTCACGTTAATGTTACCCAAATATTCATCGGACATTTTTCAAAAGAAAGGACATCTCTCAAAACAAACACAGAAAGCAGATAACTTTCAAAATAAATGCTTCTCCTCAGAGAAAAATAAATTTTACTTCTCTGTGGCTCTCACCAGTTAGGTATGTGCTGAACAGAGGATGGGAAAAGGGCAGAATAAACTCATGACACCAAACCAGGGGAAGTGAGCGGCACATCAGTTGGACAAAGTCCCTGGCAGAGGGTGAGGTGGGGGCGACAATCCGCTCACAATGACAAGGGCGGTCCTGGCCGTCCAGTCCAGAACAGGCACCTTACGCGAGAAGCTCTTTCGCTTTGAAGACTTACAGGCAGAACGGACTCTGCACCTCTGTGCAGTCAGTTTACCTCTGAAACCACCTGGCCTTCAGTGAACACTGTGAACTCTCTCACAGAGCAAGACTGTAAGAAGCCATCCTGGTCTCTAGCACCTTAGATATGGAGAGAGTACACCGAGATCTTATTAAATCCATGAGCAATGTCTTAGTAATCAATTTTAGGACAAGTCACACATTTTCAGGTGCATGATGGCTTTTGCACCGAGCGGTTTCTTCCCCTGGCACATGTGGCGTCAACCTCAGGGAAGGTCTCACATGACCTCCCATTTCTCTGGGATAGGCCTAAATTTCACAACTCATAATTTCATGTGCTCTTTCTACTAATTACACAGCCTTTGTTACTTACTAGTCAAATTTAAATTTTTGAGGAGTTTGTCAAATGCTCGAGAATTTGAGAGCTAAAATGTAAAATGCTCAATTTGATCCTTCAGCTTTTTGCCCCATGTCATTACCCCACTACCTGAACTAGCCGTTAAGACACAGTAAATCTCACAAACCTTTGTAACATTCATTTAAGCAGACAGCTTAGAAATTACAAAGTTACTGGATCAGTCATTATTAATATAACATTAAAGATAGCTTTCAGTTATAACAGATAATAAATACCCTTAATGAAATAAATATAACTAGTCACAGGTAATAAAATATATAAATTATGCAAATAGTTCTAATCAACTCTCACTAGTGAATGCTTGCTTTGATGATTTAACTGGAGTAAAGAAAATTATGCATTTATGAAAAAAGTCATTACAAATAAGTAAAAACAGTCATGTAAACAAAGGCATCTGTTTTTCGGAACCACAGAGTCATGTCACCCAAAATGGGACCCAGAGAAGTAGCAAACGACAGGGCAAGGGCTGTGGATTCCCAGACTAGGAAGCATGGAAGAAAGATTTTTTTTTAACATTGTACATATAAGTAATGTAAAATACTTGTCTCTGATTTCACTTAGCAAAATGCCCTGAAAGTCCAACTACATTGTCTCAAATGGGAAGATTTCCTGCTTTTTTTATAGCTGAATAATACCCAATTATACATATAATGGAATATATAGTTATATATATAATATCCCATTTTATTTATACACACACTACATTTTCTTTATCCATTCATCTGCTGATGGACACTTAGGTTGCTTTCATATCTGGGTTACTGTAAATAATGCTGTAATGAACACGGGGGTGCAGATATCTTTTTGAAATAGTAGTATTATCTCCTCAGATAAATACCTGTCAGTGGAACTGCTGGATCATGATGGTTTTATTTTTAATTTTTTGAGGAACCTTCGTACTGTTTTGCATAGCGGCTGCACCAATTTACATTCCTATCAACAGTACACAAGGATCCCCTTTTCCATGATCCTTGCCAAAAACTATTATTTCTTGTCTTCTGTTAAAAGCCATTCTAACAGGTGTGAGATGGTATCTCATTGTGGTTTTGATTTGCATTTCCCTGATGTTTAGTGATGTTAAACTCCTTTTCATGTATCTGTTGGCCATTTGTATGTCTTCTTTGGAAACCTGTCTATTCAGATCCTTTGTCCACTTTCCAAAATCAAGGTATAATTGACACTTAACATTGTATTAGTTTCAGATGTACAACTTTATATGCAGTATTTATAAATATTGCAAAATTACCACCACAATGTCTAGTTAACATGTCACTGTACCTAGTTACAAAATTATTTTTATTTTTCCTTGTGATGAGAACATTTTAAGATCTAGTGTCTCAGCAACTTTCAACTATACAGTATTGCTAACCATAGCCGCCTTGCTGTACATTACATTCCCATGACTTATTTATAACTGGAGGTTTCTACCTTCTGACCCCTTTCACTTCATCCACTCCCGCCTCCCCATCTCTGGAGGTATATCAGCAATCTGTACTCTGTATTTATGAGCTTGGCTTTTTTTTAAAGATTCCACATGGAGCCAGATCATATGGTATTTTTCTTTCTGTCTGACTTATTTCACTTAGCAAATGCCCTCACAGTCCATCCATGTTGTTGCAATGGCAAGACTTATCCTTTTTATGGTTGAATAATATTTGACTGTATACATGTAAGGCTTTTTCTTTATCCATTCACATCAGTGCACAGGTGAATCGCTTGTTTCGTTATGATTTTTTACTGAGGTTTTATCTTGTTCTTTCATTTGAAACATATTCCTGTTCTTTCATTTTCCTTGACTCTCTGTATTGGTTTCTGTGCATTTGATAAACAATCACCTCTCCCAGTCCTAAAGGAGTGTTCACGTATAGATGTCCCTTATCATTCAACCGTGCCCAGCTTTCAGTTGTCACTCAAACCTTGTGATTGTCCAGGCAGCCCACCTTTTTCTTACTGGCTTCCAGTGGTTGAAGGATCCTCCCAAAGGGGAGGAGCTTAGTCAGCTTCTAGATTCTGGCTGACTGGAGACCAGGCCCTCAGGCAGCATACTCTTGTCAAGTATGTAATTACACGTCTTTCAGGGAACACAGGGAGATGGGTGTTTCTGTGTGCTTCCTCTGCACGGGGCCCTGGGGTGACGGTCAGTTACAGATAAGCTTCTTGGCTCGCTGCTGCCCCACTGAACCCATGAACACAAGCCCTGCTGACCACAGGGGCTGGCGGGCAAGGGGTGTCCCCTGGATGGCGGCCACAAACACTGAGGCACCAGAAGTGTGTGCGAGCTTCTTTTCGGGAGATACCGGTGACCTGGAGCACGGCAGGGAGAGGAGCAGACAGCACCCTCTTTCCAAGGGGCCTGAGGAGGTGCGGTCTGTCCCCAGATGTCCGTTTAGCAGAAGATCCTCGGGCTGCAGCTAGGCAGGTAACAGGCTTCTCTCGCAGCAAGATGGGGTTCGTTTCAGTCGGCTGCCACTGTGCTGTGTCCTGGGGGCAGCTGGTTAAGAACTCTCTCTCCCTTTGTCACTGTGGGGCCATGAACATTAGCCCCTCTGGTCACCAATACAGGGCAACCAAAAGGTGTTCCCTGCGCAGCAGCCACAAATACCAGGGACCCGGTTGTGTGCCCAGCTCCTTCTTGAGAGACGCCAGTTACCTGGAGCGGGGGACAGGGGGAGCCAGAGATGGGGCTCCCAGCCTTCATGGCCTTTGGACAGTGTCTGGACTCCTAAGTGTGTGTTGTACTAGATGACTGACCCTCAGGCCAAAACTTTACAAATAAGCAAACAGGTCTCTTTCACAGAAAGATTTGGCAAGTCTCTGCCAGCTGCCTTGGCACCATGCCTGGGGGTTACCCCAGTGAGCCCGGCGAGCCTTTTAAGAACCGTTTCTCCATTCACTAGCCTCCTGGGTCCTCAGGACATGACCCTGCTGACTTTCAGAGATGGAAGTTTGGGGGACCCATCTCTCAGACAACAGGTCTTAAAAGTTGGGGTGTCGGATGTGGGGTTCCAACACTTCACTCATCAGGGAAAGTCTGAGTTGTGAGTTCCCATCTGATTGGGGCTTGCTGCGCCAGGGGCGGGGCTTATGAGAAGACAGGGTCTCGCCTCTGCTACCCACGTTCATGGGGGGTTTTCCTCCACCTGCTGTGTAGTCACCCGGCAGTTTTCTGGATTTCTTTCAAAGGAATTGTTCTATGTGTAGCTGTAGATTCCAAGCGTTGGAAGAGGAGGTAAGTTCAGATCTTCCTATGTTGCCATCCTGAAATGGATGTCCAGCTTAGAGACTCATTCACTGGTAGCTAGAATATGATTAATGCTTGTTAAGGAAACTAAGTATTTAGTGCAGTGATGTTTTAAACAAAGAAGGAAAGTGAGGAAAAGAAAGCTATCTTGTTTTGCGTTCTTGAGACGTTATTTCTATACAAACCTTTTGGGCTTGTAAAAATATTCCACTGACACTATTTCCTACTCAGACTGCTGTGTTTATGTAATTTGAAAAATATACCACTGATTGAGAAATAAATATGCATATCGTTATGTTCCACAAATATATGATTTAAGGTTCAAATGAAAGCATTTTTAGTATTTAAAAATAACTATTAATATAAAAAAAGCTGAAGTCAGAGTGAAAAAATACTTCCATTACATATTCCAAGACACATGATTAATCTAAAAGGAAAATAAATCATACAGTCATGAATAACAAGTCTTAAAATTATTAGGTTTGATTTCAAAGCTTTTTCCAGAGCTATAGGGAAAAAATCATCACTGAAAATCAGAAGTTTCAAAGCACCTAATCTTGGTCTGTGCTCCAGGGTATCTTCTAAGTCTTTCATTAAATTGTAAATTATTTCATTAAAATTTAAGTTTGATATTTATAAACCCCATTCTCCATAGAAGATATTTATTTGTACACTTTTTTCTACTCTAAGTCCCTCTTCTTATAATTCTATAGGCAAAAGATAAAGTTAATGCAGGGCCTTGTAAATCTTACTCTTGCAGCAATATTAACCCCATCAGATTTACTGCAATCTACTAAATTAAGAGACTATAAGAGGGAAAACATAGTGTTGCTTTTAATTTCTCAGTTTAACTTGTATAAATAACAACTCTAAGTGACAAGAGATCAAGTTGGGCAACTGAAGGAGACACCTACATAGCTTCTTATAACTTCCTAGGTTATACAGGCAAATGGAAACTTTGTTCAGCAAATACAACCGTCAAAGTATTTTGAATTCAATTTTGGCCACTAGCCCCAATTTAGGAAATATGGTTTACCTGGGCAGGGAAGGACTCATAATAATCCATGATTCACTGTAGAACTGAAACCACAAATCCCACAGAAAAAAATAACTGAAGCAACTCTGCACAGAGTACTCCTGTTGGCAAAGATAGTAAAACCAGTTGAAAATATTTTTAGTAGACAAATGCCAGTCAGATGGTGCACTCATGAAGGCACGCTTTAAAAAAAGATGGCATGTGATACAGACTACAAACAAAAGCTTCACAGAAATATGTCAACAGTGAGAAGGACCAGTAAGTTCGAAGAAGCATGCTTTTAATTTACTGTGTCTTCTTTCTGGAAAGAAATTTATACAAGCAGGTGCAAATCACCAGGACAGCAATAACTATAAGAAACCAAGAAACAAATGACATTTAACTGAAAACTAATTACCAAGATCCAAAATCTAGCAGAAGAAAACAAATGCTGGTCATATTTCAGTGGTCAGAAAATGATATCTTATTTAAGCACATACATATTTATATTATATTCTGGACTCTTAACTATCTAATCCAATTCCCTGGAGTCACTTAAATAGTCCACAGTGAGTTGGAGAAGAGTCCTTGTTTAATTTAGAAAAGTGCCCAAGAGCACATTTGAGATACATACTCACATGGTTAATTATCTTGAAAAACCAGGTATTATTTAGGATTTTTTACTAAGTGTACATGCAAAATACAAAATACACAATCACCAACACAAGGTCATGTATCACATAAAAAGTCAGGTTTTTCTAGACTGGTTTACTTACTTTCTAGCTATTAAAAACTACAGAAACTGAAAAATCAGTAAAAAATAGACTTCATTACAGCAATGTTTTGATCAAAGTGGTATCAAAGTCTGGGATATTTACTGAGAGTAAGGACAATCAAAGCAAGGAGTGCTGGATCTGGGGAAAAATGCAAATGGTTTGAACACAGTTGTTCACATATGGGCCTCCAGATTGCAGCTGTATTTTAATTTTGATCAGATCATCTATAAACTACAGCAAAGGAAACCTGGATCAATCGAGTTCTGGCAGGACTGCTAGTCATCCAGGTCATATTAACCACAGAACCCTTCCAGCCAGATTTCAGGGTTAGGATCCCCCTTGAGAAACTCTTAATGGGCATCTCAGCCTTCACTGTTTTGTGCTGAAGCTGCCACACACAGTACTTACAGAAGCTCCTAGGACAACTAGAATCCACTAGGTTCGAGGAAATTACCTACATGTGTCTGCACATACTATCCCATTTGTCATGGTATCTACGCTACTAAAATAATCATAGGTGTCAATTTTTACTAATAATTTGATACCTTGTTTCTTCTCTAAGTACCAACAGTTGGAATATGGTACTTCCATGCAGAATTCTAAGGTCTCATAATGCAAGTTTATTAATAAAACAAAATAATACCTAATTCCAAAACATCTTCAATGGTTAGAAATTCAATGGGGTCAGGATATTCTAGGGGGAAAAAAAAAGAAAATAAATAAAAGAAAGAAAGACTAAATAAAGCGAAGGATCTATAAATTCATTGGTTTTGAATTGTGGAAAGCAGTATGGAGGTTCCTCAGAATGCTCAAAATAGAAATACCATTTGAACCAGGAATTCCACTTTTAGGAATTTACCCTAAGAAAGCAGCACTCTAGTTTGAAAAAGACAGATGCATCCCTATGTTTATTGCTGCACAATTTACAATAGCCAAGATATGGAAGCAACCTAAATGTCCATCAGTAGATGAATGGATAAAGAAGATGTGGTACATATACACAATGGAATATTATGCAGCCATAAGAAAAAAACAGATCCTACCATTCACAACAACGTGGATGGAGCTAGAGGGTATTATGCTCAGTGAAATAAGCCAGGTGGAGAAAGACAAGTACCAAATGATTTCACTCTTATGTGGAGTATAAGAACAAAGGAAAACTGAAGGAACAAAACAGCAGCAGAATCACAGAACCCAAGAATGGACTAATAGTTACCAAAGGGAAAGGGACTGGGGAGGATGGGTGGGAAGGGAGGGACAAGGGGGGAAAAAAGAGGGCATTACAATTAGCATGTATAGTGCGTGGAGGGCACGGGGAGGGCTGTGCAACACAGAGAAGCAGGTAGTGATTTTACAGCATCTTACTACGCAGATGGACAGTGACTGTGAAGAGGTATGTGGGGGGGACTTGGTGAAGGGGGGAGCCTAGTAAACATAATGTTCTTCATGTAATTGTAGATTGATGATGCCAAAAAAAAATTCTTTGGTTTTGATTTTTTACTTTTATATAATACTGCTTATAATTTCATTTTCCTTATAAATTAATGTTTCTCACCACAAATAGTATAATAGAATATTATAAATTTATATTCATTATCATAAACATTGTCTTCTTTTCCCTGAATTTCCTGTGACAATAGTTTGTGGTAGAACAAATAGATGATGAATGTATTCTCAAAACTAGCCTTGAATTCATCATGGTTCTACTTAAAATTAAAACGAGGAGGCATAAAAATGAAATCTGGGATAGAAAGATGCTTCAACATAATAAAGGCCATTTATGCAAATCCCATGGTTTGCATCACATTCAATGATGAAAAGACTAAAGGTTTTTCCCTTAAGATCAGGAACAAGACAGGGTACCCACTTTTGCCACTTCTATTCAATATATATTGAAAGTTCAGTTCCAAGTAATTATGTAAAAAAGAAAAAGCATCCAAAGTGGGAAAGAAGAAATAAAATAATCTCTGTTTACAGATGACAGATGACAATCTTTTATACAGAAAACCCTAAAGATTACACACACACATACCAACCTGTTTGAACTAGTAAAATGAATTCAGCAGAGTTGGAGGGTGTAAAATGTATACTCAGAATGGTTAAAATGGTAAAAAATTGAAGTTGATTTAGAGAAATTAACATACATGGTAGCCTGTATGTTTCCAAAAAGGAAGTGTTCTGCCAGATATTAAAACATATCACAGAAGTACACTGGGAAAAAAATGTTCTTGTTTTTTGTGCTGGTACAAAAATGGACAGAGTTGAATGGAGCAGAAAGATGACAGAACACCTATGAATTTAATGTAGGATGAAAACTGGCACTTCAAAACAGCTGGAGAGAAGGTAACTTATCAAACAAAAGGTGCTACCCAGCCACTGGATGAAGGTAGGGGAGTGCAGAGGAACAATGCATCACTCCATATATTGTAACGATTTTAAATCATACCAACGATTGAATATAAAGAATGCAATCAGAAATCATGGTTGAAATGTTTATATAATTTCATGGGGAAGACCTAAAGCTTCTATAAGAAAGATACAACACTCACAGCCATTAGGGAGAAGATCAATATAACCATTAATCCATCTACCTATTTAATGTAAATATATCTATTTACCAATTAATGTAAAACCTCTTCACATATAAAAGACCACTGTTAGAATAAATAAAACATGGTATATATATTAAAGGCATCATTAAAAAGATGGGAATAAATCTAAATACAACCCCAATACAAGACATCAAGTAGAAAAAGCACAAGTTTCAGGAAAATATGTACAGTGTGATGCCAATTTTAAGAAAAAACAAAAACAAAAACCACCAAATCATATCATATGTATAACTACACATACAGGGATGTTAATGTATGGAAAAAAATAAAGACATACTAAACTATTAACTTAAGTAACTGACTACAGAAAGAGGTGAACTAATTTTACACTCTGTATACTTTTTTGTGTTTATAAAAATGTATACTTTCTGGTGTTTATGAAAATTTATAAAAATGTATTTATATGCTACTTATGTAATAAAAGGTTATAAAATGTGGTCTGTAACCAATAGCATAAGAATCTTAAAAGAAAACTGACTAGGGAAAATAAGGCCAAAAACCTCTCCAAAAATATATTCACTTCATTTTAAAGAGGGCTATAATTTATAATGGGCTCTCATGAATCAACAAGTATTTTAGAAACCTAAAAAAAAAAATGAGCAAAGGACATGAATAAGTAAATGGAGACCAAAAAAAAGTTCAGCCTCATTGACAGGGAAAGAAATGCAAATTAAAAAACAAGACATCCTTTTACACCCACTACCTTATATACATGTGTTAACAATGTAAGTAAGGATAACGAGCTACTGAACCCTTGTATTTTGAAACTGGAGGCTTATTAGTAGGCCTGGGACCTGGAAAATAAACTTGATTCAATTCACCAACCTTATCAATAAAATCATTAACAAAAAAATGAATTTAATTTTGATTTACTTTTTAAAAAGACTATTTCTCAAAATGAAGAGTACACATACTTCCAAACTTTGCAGTTCTACTTCTGGGAATTTAACCTAAATATATATCTGCACAAGCACATAAAGATGTGTGCTTAACAATATTCACAGGCATTTTGTAAAGGAAATCTTAAAAGTTAACTTTGTATTTTCTAATGGAGATCCTAGACCGTTAATTACTAATAAGTCATAAAAATAATGTTTTCAGAGTAAACATAACAATCTTAAAAAAAATACCATTCAAGCAGTATGATACTACATAATTTGTATCATTTCCTTTTCTTTGTTTCTCTTTCTTTTCTATAGTTATTGGGCATTTTTTCATATTTAAACCTATGTCACTACTGGTCTTTTTGGTACAGTCTTTCTCTAATTGATGACAAAAAAAATGACTGAACAATCCTATGAGGAGTTTTGATTATTTTTCTTAAAAAGATCCCTGTAATTTCTCCTCTTGGTAAGTTCTCACAAAAAATTCTTTCCTTTCAAAACCCCCACCAGTAAGATGGCGAACTTCCGGCCTCTCTTTGGGGGGGGGGGTCCTCAGTTCCCGCCGGTGCCACCTGAAGCCCAATCACCTCTCGCCCCCCTCCCAATCCCAGCACCTAGCCAATAGCCACCAGTCCTGTAGAAGTGACACCTCAATCAGCTCATGCCCCTTCCTATATAACCCAGCACCTTTCCCTTATAAAGCGGAATTCTCCGGTGAATTGGTGCTGTGTGTCGCTCCTTTCCTTTCATTGGTGCCAAAACCCGGGAGACGGGACACCCCAATTGGGCCCCGTCTTCCCCCCAACACCAGCAGCAGCTTGCCCTTGTCCTCTTTTTCTGGCGCTGGCTTATCACACTCACCACTCCTCTCAGGCCTTTAGGTAAGTTT